CAGCAGTGTTTACATATAATTATACATTATGTTAGAGAAGTTTTATACGACTAATACTTAATTCTACTTTTCAAAAATAAAATGGCAGTCGTCAGCGTGGATTGGCCATGTTGAGTTGTCGAGTCGGGTTTGACTCCGTGCGATACCATAAAATATTCCCTACACATTAAACTATGGGTGCGTTATGAGAGTAGGTGGCGAGTGGTAGAATACTGCTGACTGGCTGTTCTTTCTTTGGTCAGTAGTTTTTAGGGTTGGCGGTAGATAGCTTTAGAAGCTTTGCCATAATTACACATTGACATTTGAGCATAACATAACAAAATACGGCATACATGAAAAATACTTATTACCATATAATAGCTAAAAGTAACAAAATCAATTCTTGACTGAGAGTAAAGATATAACTTGGATGGGTATAAAAATGAAAACAAGTATGAACTCATACAAGTTAATTCAATACTTTTAACCCTTCAATAACTTGTTTGTTACATTTCGCGCAAAACTACTCGAGGTCGAGGCTATCTGCGCTAATCCCTAATCTCGAAATGTAAGGCTAAAAGAAAGGCAGCTAATCAACACCACCCACTGCCTACTCTTAGACTACACCATACCAACGAAAAGTGAGATTGGCCGTCACACTATACCGGTCCCTTGGTGACGGAATGCGAACTCGCGAGTCCAACGGCCAACCCACCAAGCCAGGCCTTTGTTTTAATAACACAATGATAGTTACCTGGACTAGTTTTCAGTATATATAGGTAATTTCCTTCGGAGAGAAAGTTCGAATGTACAGAAGCTTCAATTAAAATGCGTTTTTATTTCTTATGAAAACTTTAATCAATTAAAGAATTGGCGCACGTTAAAGTTTTCCAAAAGATGCACTGAACTACCTCGTCGTTTAAATACACACATCTTATACTATAAGATGTGTGTCCTTTTATAGGTGATCTCGCAACTTGAACATTGTGATCGAAAGAAAATAATTAAAACAAATCTCTACAAAGCCAACATCAGGGGATTGTTGTTGTTTTTATATGTACCTAATAGTCTTATAGCCGCCTCTACAGCATGTTAACACTAATCCGGCTCATTACACACTTCACACTACAACAAAGACAACGACGTGTTTTCAGGTCATACGTACATCCTGAACCTATTAGGTAATTGTCATAAAGAATCCAATGCTCTATTTTCTCAATGGTATGGTATGGTATGCTACATATCTGTTTATATTTATTTTTTTGTTATTGTTATTTGTTTGTTTGGTTTTAATAACTTGAATTTCAAAAGTTATTCTAACGTTACTATTCTTCACACAATTGACAAATTAAAAGTTATGCCCAATGCTCAACATCTGGAACTTTTTCTGGCTCACTTTCGATTTAATAGATATATAGAGCGTCCGTTATTCTACAGATTATTTTTATCACAACGTGGTACAAGTTGTTTTCGCGCGTATCGGCAAATATTTGAAACCTGCTTTAACTGGGTACCGAATACAAAGTGCAAAAAATATTTTTCTAGCATATTTAGATATAAATGTCCACATACATAAATTTTAAACTTAAATCAAATATATATTACAGCATATATACTACTTAGTACAAAATCACGTTCACATGTAAAATGTTTAAATCAGGTATAGAATCATGTTCATACATAAATCACGTTTAACAAGCAACAAAACTGTAGCATCAATACATTATAATATAACCGCTATTTACAATTTTATACCCATATAAATACCAGCATTATATTTTTTTCATAAATAACGCACACCTATAATATATGTAAATACTCTCAATCCTCATCAGAACATAGTTTAAAAATTATGGTTATTATGATAAAATCCATAAGAAATTATCGTTACCATAGAGTTCTCAAGACCTTCATCCCATTCTACTTAAAAACTATGTTGATGGTGTATTTGTACTCTTTAAACATAAATATCATATTCTGAAGTTTTTATTCAAATAACAGACGTCGAAATATTAACTTTTCTGTTGAATAAGAAACAGACTCTATATTAACACCTTTAGACCTACCAATTTTATTATCATAAACCAACTTTTTCAGATTTAAATGTTATCTACAGAAGTTTCACACCTTCCGTTTTCAAGAATAATTTAATATTTGGGTTAGCTTATACGGACTTTGAAATAAACTTATACATATATATGTACGTATACACACACACATACACCTATATTTATATATTACGTTAATTACTGTCTCAAAAAATCATTTACTCGGATAAAAGTGTAGATTTCAATTAAAGTAAGAAAAATAAACACCTGTTGTAACCAATATTTATTAATATGACGTCACTAAACTCCCTTTATATATATATACCACTCATTCGATTACACCACCATTCCCAATTTGCCCCTGAATAAGAAATGTCCACCTTTCGAAAGCGCTCGGTTTATAGGGTTTTTATTCATTTCTATTAATATAAAACAATATGCTTGAATAATATAATTCGATATTTAGAGAAAGATCACATAAACTATGATTGTTCATAATTTAACCTTTCCTTGCAATCTAAATCTCCCGGAGGACGGGGTAACCACAATAATATTTCAATCACAAGCCATCAGAATTACAATTTGTTTTTATTACATATTTTATTTCAAATGTATTACTTACTAACCATCGCATGTACACGCTCAAATTATTTAAAGTTCTCCAAAAGATGCACTAAATTACCTCGTTGTTTAAATATACATCTCTTATAGTATAAGCTTGCACGAGTCCTTTCAAAAAGAACGTTCTTTCATTCGCCCTACCTCAGATTCACAAAAGAAGCAGGATTAGGTGAATTTTTCGAAGATAAGATGAAAGCTAGAACTCTACAGTTTCAACGACTGCACCTCGTTTTCTGACGTGGAGGAAAACTTTCTTTATACGGTAATTATTTTTCAGTCATGTTATACAGTATCATAATACCCGGACCTAAGCGCTGAACGGGTTGTTCGTCTAGTTTTTCAAGAAACTGCATGGCAAGTTTTTAACAAACAAAATGAAGACTCCAGCATCTAAAATATCACTAAGATAATAACTACACCTGTGCTTACGTGAAGATGATTTTTATATCAACTTGGGAGCAGCATATTATCTTCAAGAATTACAGAATAATTGATTCATGGAAAAGACATTGACTGTGAGAGTTCACAATAACAGAACAACTGATTCGTGGAAAATACATTGATC